TGCGGAGAAGAATCATCAGCACAGTCAGCCGTGGACCAGAGACACGTGCTGCCGGGTCAGCGCCACAAGGCAGCCCCATAAGGATCGCATGAGTGATGACAGAGGAGATGCCGAGGAAAACGTCGACACGAGAGAATCCTCTCGTCGTCAGTTGCGTCGTGAGGAGCGTGCGATAACGGAGTCGGTACTGGGCTTCAGGTATGATACCGAATTACCTCACAAATGAACCCCTCTCTATTCTCCCTGCCTGTCCACGGAGGCTGCAGGATACGAAGCGGCATACAAAGAACATCCAACAATTCTCGAGTACAAGACGATAAGCCATCCTGACGGCAGCACAACAGAAGTACTTGTCGGCGCGCATTTCAGCCCAGAGCCGCTTAAGACGACCATCAAGCGAGTCCTTCGAGTTATTCTATGGCAGCTGACGGCGGCCGTCGGCGTTAGTCTGTGTATTGTTGCACTGTTGCTAATTTGCGTCTATCCGTGCAAAGCGACGGGTGTCCTGGGGATCGCTTTTGACGTCGTGCGTCGAATTCTGGTTGCCTTCATTATGTTCCTGGTGGTTGTGCACGTCACCGATGGATGCAGCGGGAGGAGGATCGTGTCTCGGCTGTGGAGATGTCGGTTTTCATTCGGTATTCCAATGATCGTGTCCATTCTCATTTCTGTAGCCAATCACGCCCGCTGGGATGTCATGTGGAGGCGAAATAATATCATCGCTCCGGTTTGGTGGTGCTGCCTTGTTGGGACCCCATATGCATACTTTCGGAGCTTTGCTGGGGCCATCGGAATGAAAAACAAACAGGATTACGCCCTGAAGCTTGCAAGTGTCTCCTGTCTCGGGGAGGGTCTGGGCCAATTATATCTGCAATATATCTTGCCAGTTGAGGCGTTGCTGCACGATGATAATCAAAAGACCCAGCTGGCGTTAATCTCTCTCATTGTCGGGTGGCCTTTCGTGTCTCTGGTTCGGTGTGTAAGTACAAACACATCTCCCTACTCGTGTGCATGTGTTTTTCTGTGTCTGCACTTTTGTCGGACACACACAGCGAACAAGCTCTTGCGGTCCATACGGGTGAGTTACCTTGACAGGTATATAGCGATGAATCCGAGCTCAATTTGTGCGTGTCTGTTAATCAGGATGGACCGCCAACGTATCCTGCGCCCCTGATAGTCCTTGCAGTGATGGGCTACCTACTAGTCCCTCGAATCCTCCAAGTACAGTGAGATGCTTGTGTGCATATGTAGTGTCTTCTTTATTGGCTGTTTCCGATTCATCTCAGGCCAGAATGATTAATTTTCGCAGCAAAGTCATCAACTCGATCATGATCGTCTCGTAAGAAGGACGGAACAGCC